TATTCCCGATCAGGGCACATACCCAGGTTATGGGTTTGATTCCCAGATGGGGCACATGCAAGAGGCAACGGATTGATGTTTCTCTCTCACATCCATGTTTCTCTCTCTCCCTCCTTTCCTCTCAAAAAAAAATCAATAAAAACATTTTTTTTAAAGTGGTACAGTGCACAATGAAACACAAAATGTCTTCAGATGGTGGCTTTTGTGAGACAGTCATGGAGGAGTGGAGTGTTATGCGGGGGTCAGGGAGCCAGGCTTCTGGAGAGAGAGCCCAGTCGTAATACTTGTACCTGAAGCAGAAGCAGCTCCCTTCTCTCCCACCCTGGAATTCAAAGACAGCTCAGGGAAGGATCTGGGCTTCCAAGGTGTGGAAAGGGGGTTTCAGACAATTGAATGGGTTTTTAAGGGACAGGGAGATGTCCGCTGAGGTTCAGCTAACCCAGTGAGACTCTCACTAAGGAAGTGTGAGGTGTAGGTCTGTCCTCATGGGGCTCATGAGTGGCCTCTCAGGGGCCAGGTTCTCTTTGGGGATCTTAGGGGTTGAATTGTGTCCCTCCGCAAATTCATATGCTGAAGCCCTAACCCCCAGGACTTCAGAATATCACCTTACCAGGAGACAGGGTCTTCATGAAGGGAATCAGGTTAAATGAGGTCACTAGGGTAGGCCCTAATCCAATAGAACCAGTGTCCTCATAAAAGTGGGAAGGTAGTAGCCAGGCATGAATACAGGGAGAATGCCATGTGAACATGAAGACGGCATCTACAAACCTAGGAGCCTTCCCTTGCAGCTTAAGAAGGAACCAACTCTGCCAACAGCTTGATTTAGACGTCTAGCCCCAGAATTGTGAGGAGGAAAGTTTGTGTTGTGTAGCCACCCAGTCTGTGGTGCGTTGTTCCTGCAGCCCTGGGACACTAATGCAGAGGGCAGACAGTGGCTGTGCTGAGCTGGGTGGGGCTTTGGCCCAGAGTTGGGTATTAGGGAAGAGCTGAGAGGTGAGGAAGGCTATGTGTGACAAAGCCACCTCAGGGGTCTTGCAGGTCTTGCCATGTCCTGAGCCTGTTGCTGCTATCGAACCTCTGGACCCTGAAGCTGGGGTGCACTCTGTGCGAGGGACCTGGTGGACATTCCAGACATTCCCCTGCACCTTGACTCCCCAGCGGGAAGCTCTTGATTCTGGAAGCTCTGAGAAATGCTCCAACCTGATTTTGAAATCTGTACTTTCCCTCTGCCCCTTCTCTGTCTCAGGCTGATGAGGGGATGAGGACGAGACCCATTCCTGGTCTCAGAGATTCCCTGGTTCAGAGAGTGGAGGAGCCACCCCTAGAGTTTAGGGATGTGCCCGCCCCTCCCAGAGTCCTTTGCCCTCCCCCTTTCTGTCTTTCCTCCTTCTCTATTTTTGTCTTATCCCCTCCCCGCACTCCACACTGTCAGTCAGCCCTACTTCATTCTCTAGGGCAGGTCACCCTCCCCCACCTCTCCCACCTCCCAGGCCCTCCTCTGCTGCTCTCCTCAGCTGACCTCCTCTGGTGCAGAAACCTCAGGAACTCTGCTAGCTCTGTGTTGGAAGGGTGTGGGAGAAGGTGATTGGCTCAGTGGGGGCCTTAAAAGGAGCTGCAACCAAAGGGATTCTGGAGAAGAGGCTGCTCCTCTGAAACACTTCTCATACCTGTTCCTCCATCAAGCCACAGCCCCCTGAACCCTGAGCAACCATGGGCTTCTCCAAGGTGAGTGAGAGCAAATGGTGAGGGGACAGTATGCCCTGGAGTCCCATTTCCCACTGTGTGTTTATTCCCCTCTCCCACCAGTGCAGCCCCACCCTAGCTGATCTCTAGATTCACCAGGCTCTGTTCCATCCTCCTGGGCCACGGGGAGACCCCTGGAAGGAGGGTGTCATGAGAATGTGACCTGTATGGTCATTGTGATGGCCCTGAGCCTGGTTGGTTGAATGCTATCCTGGCACCAAACTGAAATTCTGGATAATTCTTGACAAAGGCCCCACAGTTTCATTTTGTGCTCAGCCTTTCACTTCATGTAGCAGGTTCTGGTTGTGGGGCCAAAACTCATGTCTGGGAGAGAAATTATAGGGGCAGCTCTGTGAGTATGAGAAAAGGGGTGTGTGTGTGTGATTGAGAAACAATGAGTCTTATAGTGTGGCAGAAGACCAAGGAAATACCTCGCACGCTTCCTAGAGAAAGAAAGGGACCCCGTTTATTAACACTAGTGAACTCCGGGAATAATTTCCAAATCAGAGTGAAGTAACTGAAGTAACGCGCAGAGGGCTTCACTTTTTATAACCTTCTGGGGTCTTTGTCTTGCAGATATGGTTCCGCCCCCTTTTGTGGGCTTACAGGAAGGCCCCCAGTTGTTGGGGGTCCCCAGGCCATATCTGATCATCTGTCCTGGGGCCAACGATAATGACCCCCCCCTCCCAGGGCAGTGCATTGTTCACAGTTTTTATGGCCTAACACACCTTGCAAGACCAGTTTCCTCCTTATTCCTAGCCCCGCCCTCCCAACACTCCCCCCCTTGTCCCATAAGTGTCTTTTAGCCTTGTGAAGCAACGACCTCGGGATGACAATCGCTCTTAGCTACTTCCTGCTGGCAAGGGAA